GGGGCCAGACTCTTTGCAGTGGTGCCCAGCGACAGGACAAGGGGCAACGGGCACAAACTGAAGCCTGGGAAGTTCCAGTTGAACCCGAGGAAGAACTTCTTCCCTCTGAGGGTGCCGGAGCCCTGGCCCAGGCTGCCCAGAGGGGCTGTGGAGTCTCCTTCTCTGGAGATATTCCAGCCCCGCCTGGCCGCGGTGCTGTGCCCCCTGCTCTGGGTGACCCTGCTTGGGCAGGGGGTTGGGCTGGGTGACCCACAGAGGGCCCTGCCAACCCCTGCCATGCTGGGATTGTGTGACCTGGGTGGAACGCTGCCTTGGCAAGGCGCCGGGGACTCTTCTGTCCATGGTGGGTGCACAGATACGGGGGTGTCAGTACCATACACGCCACGCTAGCCTCCACCTCTCCCTACCACGGCCGGATCCCTCGCCTACCTATTGCCTTCTTCAGCGTCTCGTACGTGATCTCTTCTGCTGGTGCTCTCTAAAGGGAGGAGAAAAGCAGATGAGGCTCAACTGACAGCACGGGACACCACGCTGGGATCACAACAGCCCAGAACCAGTGTCCCAGGCTGTATTCTTGCACCAAAACACGGGGAAAATAAAGATTTGCCACTCAAACAGCAGTGGGAGAGCCTTCCTGCCGTGCAGCTCCCCTTGTAGGCTGGGATCCTTGTAGGCTGGAGCGGGGCATCAGGCGGAGTCGGGGTCTTTCTGACCCTGCTCGCTGCCAGACACGCCGGGGCTGAGTTATGGCCCCCTGCGCTCGCAGCCAGCGGAGCAATCGTGCATGCAGCCAAAATTCTCGAGAATTCGAGAGGGTTTAAGTGCACACTGTCAAAAGCACGCGGTGCCGAAGGGATGCCGCAGCCTCTGCAGCTCTGGCGTGACACGGTACCTGCTCTCGCTCAGGGCTGTTCCTCGACTCCACCTCAACCTGCAGGGAAATGGTCTCACCGATGCTCTTCCTCTTGGACAAGCGATCTTCATCTGGGGAGGAAGAGAATGGGCAGAAGAGTTAAGTGCAGCTCCCGGGGGCACGTGGCTTCGTGGCCCAGCCCCAGGGTAGAAGTCCATCTAAGCCGTTCACCCAAACTCATCCAAACCAGCAGAACTGAGGACTGAGCCAAGCCCAGCGGGCTTCGTGGCTCCTCCCGTCCAGCCAGCCGTGCACGTGGCAACCCCAGGAGTTCACAGAATCACAGAATGGTAGGGGCTGGAAGGGACCTCTGTGGGTCACCCAGCCCAACCCCTTGCCCAAGCAGGGTCACCCAGAGCAGGCTGCACAGCACCGCGTCCAGGCGGGTCTGGAATATCTCCAGAGAACAGTTTGTGCCCGGTGCCCCTTGTCCTGTCGCTGGGCACCACTGCAAAGAGTCTGGCCCCGTCCTCCTCACCCCCACCCTGCAGATATTTAGAGGCATTTCGAAGGTCCCCTCTCAGCCTTCTCTTCTCCAGGCTGAACAAGCCCAGCTCCCTCAGCCTCTCCTCGTAGGAGAGATGCTCCAGTCAATTCCCAGTTAACCACTTTGTGCCTCCGTTTCCCCAAGGTTGCACCTCTAACAGAGAGCAGAAAAATAACAGGCTCACGTGTAGGACAAGAACTTCACGCCCCCATAACCTGGCAGAGCAAGGGACCAGTTTCCTCCTGTCCCAGTTCCCCGGGATGTCCCAGGGTGCTGCGTACCAGTCAGCTGGGGGATGTAGGGTGTGCTGAGCCGGTCCGAGTTGTAGCCACTGCCACCCAGCACCTCGCTGATCTTGCTCTGCCAGAAGAAGACCTCTGGGCCTAGGCGGTCAAGGCTCTTGCTCAACCTATGGAGACAGAGAAAAACCAATGGAGGTGGCAGCATCTCTCTTGCTCGGGGAACAGCAGGTAGTGAGGAAGAAGATGTTTTCCAGGCTCTTACCTGGGTCTCTCCACAAACACATCTTCAGGGAGCAGATAGGGAGCTTCCTTCTGTCGCATCTGAATAACCTGCAGAAGACATGCAAGGAGCCAAGCTCAAAACCCATGGGTGGGCCTGGAGAGCAAGACTCCAGCCCTATCTCCCCAGAGCCTCCCTCGCACCTCGTGGATGTGCTGGCAGAAGGTGGGCACAGTGGTGAGCTGGCTGATGAGGTTCAGGTAAGCTGCACCGAGGGCGAAGAGCGCGCAGCGGTTGTACGCTGTCAAGTTATCCTCGTTGATCTGGGCAATCTCCTGCAACAGAGACACAGCCCCATGAGACGAGGACGGATAAGGTCCCAGCGTGGTCTCCATCCACCTTGTGGCACCACCTGCCCTGCAGGTTTTGGATCTTGGGTTCACCCCATTTCAGAGGCTGACAAGGCGACTGGGGTCTCTCCCCAGCGTGTTGGTCCGATCCCAGCGCGGTGGGAGAAGCTGAGAGCAGCTGAGGCACTTGCATCCCCCTCCCTCAGAGACCCCAACTCCAAAACAATTTCCCTCCAAGAGGCTCCTGCCTGTCGCATCCCAGCCCGCTCGCCCCACGGCGCTGAGCCCAAGCAGCTTCTCCCCACCTACCTGCACTGCCAGCACCAGGCGGATGAGGTCCACGACGACCTCCTCGTTAGCCAGCTCGATGCTGATGAGCATCAGCATGCTGTAGAGAGCCTCGTAGTGAGCCTGCACGTTGCTCTCCTCCTTGCATATCAGGTAGATGTGCCGGTAGAGCTGCTGGCCGTGCTGCGGGGACACGGAGAGATGCAGTCACCTCCTGAGCATCCCCTGCGAGCGACACTGCCATCAACGCTGAGGAAGAAACGCAGCAGGGCCCAGCCAAGGGGCCTCCATCCACTCAGGGGGAGCAGAGCAAATGAAGAAAGCCCCGGGGAGAGGGAGCTGTGACTGTTGGGGGTGTTTCACCATTCCATGCCGGACCCTGATGGGGAGGAGGCACCGGCAGGTCCAAGAGCAGAGCCCAGGGTGGGCAAACAGCACTCGCAGCGCCGGGGAAAGGATGATGCCTCTGTTGTAGAAGCATTATAGAAATCACGGAGGAAAAATAAAGCCCTGAGACACTTTGTGTGACAGCACGGCATGGGACAGAGCCAGGCACAGGCTGGTACCAGGGAAACTTCACTCTGCAACGGTTTTTGGTTTGGGGGCTGCGTTTCTGCTCCTTGGTGTGCACAAGGTACTAAACTGATCCTCTCTTGGCCTCAAGTTAGCTCCAGAGGTGTTTGCACCGCCCTGGAAGGGTTTTAAGGGGGCAGTGAAGGGGGATAAAAATGAATAAAATCGGGCAAGCTCAAAAGCACTTGATAAATAGCTTTTGGGACACCAGCACATCCTGGGGTACTCATTCCTTGGAGGAAATAGCAGGTTCAGGAGTCTGGAAAGCCCCACGCATGAAGTTGCTGCTGGAAACTGAATCCCACTGGCCTTCCCCAAGGACATCCCCAGGTTTAGAGGCACCATGGTGCTCCAAGACTCAGTGTGACTTGGGGAAGCAGAGGCGCAGTCCTCACACTGCTCTGCACAAGGACAGCTTGACCCAGACCCTGACACTACCTTCTTCATGAAGACAGTATCTTGGCGCGAGCATTTGTCCACTTTCAGCTTCAGAACCGAGATGTCGCTGATGGTGCTGCAAGGAAAGGCCAAGGGGAAGGGAAAACTCAGACACTGGAGGGAGGAGGCACGATTCCCGCACGCCTGCAGAGCTGCTGGCCAGGAGGAGGCCGTCTGGGAGGAAGCGAAGGGTGAAGCTAAAGGTCGCTTTTAAAACCCATCTGAGCAATTTGAGAGCGCTGAGCCAAATCCCGACAGAATTTCGAGGCAGCGGCGCTCGGGAACACAAAGGCAGGGTGACAAAGAAGCAGCAAGCAAAGTGGATTAGCAGGACCACAGCAAAACCCATGGAGATGTTTCCACCTGGGATTACAGTCACCTCCTTCCGAGGTAACGCGGCATGGACGAGTGCCAGGAGACCTATCCATGGGGATGCAATGAGGTCGATGAAGCCACCCGAGGAGGTTATTGCTCCCACACCTCCTCCTGGGACCACTGTCTGACCACAGTTACATTCAGCAGCATGGTCCCATGTCACAGAATCACAGAATCACAGAAGAACCGTCCCTCTGGGCACAGTCTCTCAGAGAGACCCCCACCCATCTGGCTCTCAGCAGACCACCGCTCTGCAGCATTAAACCACCCCAGAATTGGTACTGGATTTATTAATAATCCTGCCAGCGCTCCCAGCCCAGCAGATCTCCCTCCCAAGCCTGGCTCTGCAGGGTCCCATCCCTGCTGAGGAGCCCCCAGGACATACTTGATGGTGGAGAATTTCTGCCGGTTCCCGTGGCGATCGATGAAGCTGATGAGGATCTCGAGGACGAAGAGGCGGATCTCAGCGTCCTCCATGAGAGCTGCGGAGAGCAGCCTGTCCAGGAAGGCGCTGGGAAGAGCCGTGAGCATGTTACTGCACTGGAAGCCCACAGAGACCTGCAAGCATCAAAGAAAAAGGGAGGCAACATGACAGCGTTGCCTGGGGGCTTAAAACACACCAAGAAAGAGGGGATGCAAGTAGAGAAGATTAAGTAAAGCTTGAGCTCTTCTCCCAAGTAACCAGCGATAGGACGAGAGGAAATGGCCTTGAGTTGCGTCAGGGGAGGTTTAGATTGGATATTAGGAAAAATTTCTTTCCTGAAAGAGTTGTCAGGCATTGGACCAGGCTGCCCAGGGCAGTGGGGGAGTCCCCATCCCTGGAGGGGTTCAAAAACTGTGTGGATGTGGCACTTGGGGACATGGTTTAGCAGGCATGGGGGTGTTGGGGTGATGGTTGGACCTGATGATCTGAGAGGTCTTTGCCAACCTAAACCACCTCAAGGGAGAAGGTCCTGGAGCTCAGCTTGCCCATGCCAGCAGCCAGGGATGCCATGGGTCTCGCTGGGGCTGCACACTCCCGCAGGGAAGGTGACACGGTCATACCTGGAGGAGGGACTTCAGGAGCATTATCTGTGTCAGCCGATTCCGGTTCTCCCTGTCACAGAGTGAGGAAACAACTGGTAAAATCCAAGTGAAACCAAACCAACCCTCCTCCCATACCCAAAGGATGGAAAAGCCTCAGAAAGGGCAGGACCCGTTTCCCCAGAGTCGCCACCACAAACAGCCGTGCTGTAAAGGTCTCTTGGCAGACGAGCTCCAGATGCAGCAGCCAGCAGAAAGGCTGGGAAAGGAATGATGAATATCAACGTATACATCCTGCCACAGGCACCACAAACAAGGCAGCACTTGCATCTCCAGGCAGGCACAAGCTGAGCTCAGGATGATGAACCGCCCTCCGGATGTCCCCATCCCACAGCGACTCCCAAGGGATGTCAGGCACCGGATCTGAACAGATTTCTCACTTTTAAGCAGCTGAAAATTGGCAAGACGAAGCCCAAGCCCTCCTGTCCCTGGAGGTACCCCTGCTCCTCGCTCCAGCCTCGCTTCTTGAGAAGCCACCACGAACCACGCTTCCACTTCAGCGACATGGGGAGGGGTTTAATGCAAAAAAGAGGAAATCTTGAATTCTCTACTGTCTGCACTCAGTCTTTCCTAGCCCTGGGGGACACAGGGAGCTCCCAAGGGATTTCCAGGCTGTCCCACGAGACGCTGCCTGTGCTGCCTACCTCTGCCCAGGGACTGAGCTACGCCACAGACGACAGCATCTTCGTAAGCCAAACTGCAGGCTGCAGCTCTTCTGTGGACCCTCGGTTCACCTACACACCCAGAGCAAGCATCATCCTGCCCACAGCGTCAGATGAGATTTAAAAAATCTCCTGGAGGAAGCTCACGAGTTGATAAAGGAGCGGTGACAAACAGCCTGGCATGGCCGGCCTAGAATAGAGGAGTGACGGCCATGGAGGCCGGTAACCAGTGGTGTCCTCCAGGGTCAGTACTGGGCCCAGTCTTGTTCAACTTCTTCATCAATGACCTGGATGAAGAGTTAGAGTGTACCCTCAGCAAGTTTGCTGATGACACCAAACTGGGAGGAGTGGTGGATACCCCGGCAGGCTGTGCTGCCATCCAGTGAGACCTGGACAGGCTGGAGAGCTGGGCAGAGAGGAACCTGATGAGGTTCAACAAGGGCAAGGGCAGGGTCCTGCACCTGGGGA